CCGTCCCCCGCAACCCCCAAGCAGAACAAGCAAACCGAGAACGCTGCTGCTGCTGTACCGCCCTGCCCCGGGCGAGGGCCGCCGCGCCGCGGCTACTCGCCGCCCTCCTGGACGGGGCTCATGGCGAAGTTACCGGGCTGCGCGGGGGGCTCGCACTCCAGGTCCCCCTTGGTGCTCTCGCTGCTGCTCGACAGGCACCCCAGGCCGGAGTCCTGGCTGCTGGGCGGCGAAAACACTGCGAGTGAGGGGAAGAGAGAGAGAGAGAGAAAAAAAACAGTGCCTGAAACACCCCCTGGCTCTGACTAGGGGAGACCCAGAGAGATCTCCCCTCTCCGGGAAGAGGGGCTAGGAGTTAGTTGTTCCCTCCGGCATGCTGAGGTGCTGGTCTCCCTCCTCCCGCCAAGGTGAACAGCGAGAGTAACGATGGGAGGAAAACAACTCGAGGTCTGGGGGCTCTATCCCTCCACCCACAAGGAAGCTACCTGCCTACACACCTAAGGCCCTGCCTCGGGCAGCCCGAGGCTGAGGCCAAATATTACAGAATTTAAAACTAATGCAGTGCTAGAAACGGTTGCAACATAGCAATTTGCAGTAGATACAAAAACCAAGTAAAAGGGTCTCTGACCTTCCTAACCTTAGATGAGTTGAGATCCACCCCCAACACTCCCTTCCTGCCTACCATGAATATAATTAAGGGGAAGCTGCAGTGGTAATTTCTCTCCTCATTAACTTCCTGATTGGTTTCAGGCTCAGGATTCCAGCAGCCGGCAGTTTGTCACCAATTCCAAATGGCCAATCGTTAATACTAATGTTTGTGTAGCTAACTGCCAGCATCTGCCACGGCTTCTTGTACAACAATAATAGTGAAAGGGTAACATTAGTGCTTCCCGTGTTAATTCAGATTCTGTTCATCAATAAGAAAATCTATGATGTAATTAGCAAAATGCATCGGTAGCTGAGGCAGTTGGAGGGAAACTAAATCACAGCAGGAGCTCCATGAGCCCCTGACACCTTTATCATCAATACTATGTTTTGGATTTTACTGTTCAGTGTAAAGTATTACCAGCCTGTGGTCTTTTAAAAGAGAATATTGTTTACGGCCACTTCTTGTTTCTTAGAAGCCATGATGAATCTAATACAATGCACAAAAACAAGAAATACGGAGTGGAGGCTTAAACTCTGTCCTGAAATCACACTGCTGTGCCTAAGTGAGCTGCTCCTCTACACTTGAGCCCTGGGTGCTTTCAGATTCCGGGGACTTCTGCTTGTCCTGAAGTTCAATGAAAAAGACAAGGTCAGGCTCGACTTCGATAGCCAGTCAAATCCAACAGGATTCAAGGAAAGTTAACTGCACCATCTGGGTTTAGCCCACTATTTATGAGACAATTAGAAATATGCTCTTAAAAAACCACCAGCATTCAGTTTCTGTAGTGTCCTGTGTTTCTGCAGTAACTTCAGTTTGCAGCTCAGCTTCTGAATTTGTCCTGTTTTCAAACAAACACTGGTTGCCGAGAAATAGAAAAGACATTCTGAAGTAGACATCACACACACCCACACACCCACACCCACACCCACCATTTTCACCCACTTAACTCATGCATAGATGAAACAGCAATTTCCATTCCTTTCAGGGAGTTTTGACCATTTTTGATATTACAGAACCCAACTCCTTGATTTAATGCAAGTGTCTCCTTTGATGCATATAAGGGATGACTAAGGCTCCAACACCACTCTGCCAAAGCAGACCCTATTATTGTCTTTTAGATCTAACATAAATTTTTTAACTCCAGGGATATTAACCCTATATTACATTTTTTCCCAGCTAAAAAAGAACACAATGCTTAGAGATGAGGGCAAGACAACGTAGTCAAGGCATCTTCCAACAGTTTTTATACATCCTGCAAATGCTGCTAATTGTTTCAACGACACAAAAAGAGCGATCCAGTCTGCAGCATCATGTGTTCCTTTGCTGTGTGGTCAAATGCACAAAACAGCCAAACAGGTCTCCAACATCTCCATGTCTGAAATAACTAGTGCACTGATCTGCTCTTAGAACAGGTTGGAATTGCACTTACATAACCTGCAGTTGACAGCAACTGTTTAGATTTTTACTTTTTCTAGCCCACCAACCCTGAAACCAAGAAGCGTTGCAGAATCAGAAACGATCCTTGTGGCTTCCAAGAGCCAAACTTCTTTCTGCCAAACTTCCAAGAGCCAAACTTTGTTCTGTGAGAACATACCAGGAAATTCCTAATGGTGTGTTTCCTTCCTTTCCTTTTTAGTGTTTAAGCAGGGTTTTGGTGGAGTCCAAGGAAAAATCACATTTCTTCAGTGTCTGGAAGAAGATACCACTTATCTTTCCACTTCACTTTCTCTATTAAATAATTTTATCATGACCTAGGAGCTCCTAGGGCTCAAACCAAGTGTAAACATGGAGATTACAGGAATCAAGCAGAACAGCAGAGGAACATTTCTGCTCTTCTGCAAGGGAAGCAGCAGAAACATACTCACTGTATGGCCAAGCCTGCACCCCATTCCCATGATCTGAAACACACATTGTGCACTATTTCAGGGGAGTATCTTGTTGGGGTGGTTCATGCTTTGACTATTATGTAATGACAGAGCAGAGGTGCTCTGTAGGTCCACATGCCAATGTCTAAGGGGAAATCACCTACAGAAAATGTGGAATTATCACCTCTCCTGATGTGTCCTACAGACTAGCTCCCCAGCGGTAATTCACCGTTTTAGGTTGTTGTGCCTGCTAAGAACTAACTGCAGCTTTGGTAGGATCTGGACAGGTCTAGCATCAGGAATCATCTTTTTCTCCATAAGGTACCTTTAATTATATAGTAATGCAGCTGGCATCATCTCAACAGGGCTTGCTGGCTCAAGGGCTCAGCTCTCCAACTCTCAGAGCCTCATTCTGCTCTGATTTAGCAAATCAGGTGCGTGAAGGATTAGAACATGCTCTAAGGATTCTGAACGTCCCTGGCCTCCAGGACAAAAGTATGAGAGAAGCAATTTAGGTTAAAAGGGGATAATTTTTTGTTTACTCCCAAGTAGCCAATGGGTAAGAGGTTTATTTATTTTAAAGGATTTGTTAATACTTCTAAGCATGCATGTGCCTGAAGTGATGTAAAGGCACACTTTTAAATACCTATATTTAAATCAATATATATTTAAATCTACAGATCTATAGATATGTATACAGATCTATATATACCTATATTTAAATCTTTAGATCTACAAACCTCTGTGACAAAGTTTCAGAAAGTGTTTTTTGGTTGTTTTTTTTTCCAAACACAAAGAATCCAAAAGAGTCAACACACTACAGTACAGATGTTAAAACCCTACCACAGCAAAACTGTCGTTTTGTTTTTGTGGTCTACTTATTTAGCAGCTCTGTGTTAGTTTTGCACAAACCTGCAGAATGATACACAGGGCAACTTTTTTTGGTAGACAGATAATCAAATTTGTTTCTTAGCATCTCAAGTGGTGGCTCCTAAGTCTTCTGGACGAGTGAAGCTCCACCAGTTTTTCCACTGACTTCCAAACTAATCAAAGTTTTGCTTGTTAGGCAATATGGGCTATATTTTCTGCTCTCTGAATTTGCATAATGGTTTGTAATGAGAGCCATAAAGCTTTTAAAAATGATCTGACACTACCAAGATTTACCTGGAGCAGGTAAGACTGTTCCTTCTGTATCCAGACCTGGACTGCTTTATTGAACAGACCTCCACTGCAGTCAACAGTCACTGAAGTCAAGCAAGGTGCAGTGAGTAGGTGCAATGCTGATAAAAAGTACGAGATACTCAGACTGGGACTTGTAGCTATAAAAAGGCAGCAAGAAGGAAATAAGCAATTCTGTTTCAGTGTTTTAATCATACAGCAATAAAATGTAGAAATTCCAAGTTCAGAGAAACAAAACCCATGTTCTTTTTGACTTAAGTATATGAGTTTCATCTGTTTGAGGCTTGTGGCTGATCCTCCCACAGTTGTTACACAGCCCTTATCTGTGTAAATAACCGTACCAGAATTGGGTCTGTGACAGTTTTTAAAGACTGTTCCTTATCTAATTTACCTTTACCTAATTTACCCTTGGGAAAGCACCTGAATACTTTTGAGCCATATGAATCTGAAAAATCATTCAGCTAATTTCACACAGGAAAAGAAGTGAAAAGGGATCCCAACCACAGACACAAAACCTTATGTCTTCTGACACTGGTAACTGCACTGACTTTTAACTTTAGTGATCCCCAAAATTCAATGGGCTGAAAAGAGTAATGCACTTTCAGTGATGTGAGAAACCAGAAGGACATTCATGCTTGAAAAGTAAATATTTTCCTGAGTTTACATTTAAAAAAACTATTAAGCCCTAAATAAGGAGTAATTTATAAAGATTCAAAATCGAGTACAATTTTATAATCAAATACAATTCATTTTTTAAAACTTTTTCACCTTTCTTAGGGAAAGAAAAGCAAGTAAGCATGTCAGTACCACACACTGTTAACTAAGGGCCGTTCACTTCTTGGTGTGCACATTTGTGTGTCAGCACAGCCACACGTGTACGAGGAAGAACTAGAAGCTGTCGGCAGTTTGATGACATGGGAGCATCACTGAAGCATGCCTAAGTTTTTGGCACGAGGGTGGACAGGAACTGCCCTTCATAGTACCTTCTTCTCCAAAGCACTTTCCTTCTGCAAATATCACTGCCGTTTCAAGCAGCAACTTCCATTCCAGGCTACAGAGATCCCACATAAAGGCTCTTGAAAACCAAACTGGCCTGGGAAAACACTAGCAGTCAAACCAAGAAGCAAGAAGTGATATCTGCACAAAGGGCAGAATGAGAGAAAATGGCACTGACTCCTCAAGATACCAGTTCAAACCACTTGAAGACATAAAGGGTGGCTGGCCATGTTGGCTGACTTGGTGGCTTGCAAGTAACCACAGGCCAAATTCAGTTTGAAAACACCGTCTCCATTTCCACTCAAGTCAGGGGTACCCCGTTACTCTGGTGCTCAGACTGTTGCCAAAAGGGCTAACTCTACCTCCCAGCATGAGCAAACAGCCTGAACAGCCTTGCCAGGCCACAGCAACTATGGTAACAGTATGGTAACTGCCTGAAAAAGCTTTAGGTCAAAAACCCAAATCAACCGAACAAACCCCCCAAATCAGCCACTAGGAATCAGAGAACTATCAGAATCCTCAGCTGATGTCTCAGCAACTGAGAGGACACACAAAAAAAAGAGAATGGGAGGCTTGTCCTGACTTTGCTGTAGATGATAAGACGAGCAAGATGCAGCCTGCATGTAAACACATGCAGGAAGTTGACTAAGTTCTCCTAAGCAATCTCCTTTCAGCTGTCTTTCACCTTTGGGAGTACTTAACCCTATGCTGAACAAGGGTTCAACTCCTTAAGGAGAGTTAACTAACAAATGGTCAAAAAGAAAACCTACCTCTGCAAATCTCTCATATGATCCCTTCCTGTGTGAATGCTCTATTTAAAAAGACTATTGACTTACATTAGGGTGAAAAAACTGCTCACAAGCCAGCCATGCAATGCGTCCAGCTTCATACTCTGGTATTTGGCCCTGTGCAGATCCAGCAGTCAAGAGACTATGGGTCCATGGGCTCCTACTAGGCCACAGAGAAGTTTCAAGAAAAGTAAGAACAAACTTGAATCATCTGTGTTTTCAAAATTTTCTTTGAACACAAAGACTGCAATTTTGTAAACCTGCAGTGATGCATGCTCCCGAAGGACATTTGCACTTGATGAACCCCCAATATATTTTATTTCTTTTGCTTCTACTCTGTATGAACTAAAGTAAAAAAAAAACTCCAAAATGCTATCTTCTTAATTACACCTCTCTTGCTCAAGAAAACTGCTGGGATGAAATGGTTCTTAATGAAAATTCCTGCTGATGTCCATAAGTGCTTAAATGCACTGCATGTTTTCTGTACTGACTATCCTTCTTCTCCATCCCTCAGGCCTCATCACAGATCTGGACAAGGGGGTATCTTCCACAGGGATAAATCCTGGAAGCCCATCTGAAGCCAAGGGTTTCTGTGTGCTGCAGGCTGGTCACCACAACGTAGTGTATGTGCAGACTGCTTTGCAGCAGTATGACGCACACCAATGTGTAAGATGAGGAGGCTGATACCAAGCAGTTTACAAGGGGAAAAAGAAAACTCAGCTATGGGTGAGCTTTAAAACTAAACTCCACATATTACTTTGACCAGCTGAAATGTCTCTGCGATGTTCCTGTGATCAATGTGTTACGGACTCTTCTGTGCTGACCACAATGTGGATTAACCTGCAAGAACGAGGGAGTGATGCTCCTTTTCTGCTCTGCTATCTATTAACACCACAGGAACTTGTCCAGTGCTAGAAATATATGTCTGTGGATATTTTCCTGCTGACAAGAAGTTATAAGAGCAACAAACAGAGTTGATTTTTGATGCAAAAATAAAAACAAGCCTATGGATCTTAAAACAAATGTACACTCCATCTGTGTCTCTTAACACAGGTATACTATTTCACAGCAAAGCCCTTTTTTTCTTCTCTAACACCTACCCTTGTCACTAACATTTAAGGCAGTAAGGATTATCTTGGATGCCCACAGTAGGGCACATTTATTGTGTATTTTCAAATAGCATTAATTTTTGGCACTAGGAACTCAGGATAAAAGGTAAAGATCTTTATTCAGTATGCTTTACCACGGATTATCTCAATTCTTTTCCAGTTAGTGCTTGTAGTTTTAGCAGCTAAGAAGGTAGGGCTATAACTGATGTAATTAGAAACCAGAGGCTGGAGAAAATATCCTCCTGTTGACTCCCTCACCTCTGGTTTTAAATTCTCTTACAGTAATATGTGAAACAATCAAATAAGGCTTTTTACTTCTCATCCACCACCACCATCTAGACAGACAAGATGCAAAAATGGTACTTGGGAAGCTTGGGCTTTTTACTCAAGACTACAAAACACACCTTGAAACTATACCAATCTTCTACAAAGCAACTGCCCTTCATGCTTGCATGCAGGAACTGGAGCAGAGTATTTATTGATGGACCAACACCCTCTCTTATCACCAGCTTTACATTATGTGGCTAACTTGATGTCATTGAGCCACTGCTGCAGGCTAGGAAAGGCAGAGGATGAACAATCTCAGAAAAACTTCAGGTGTGCTGAGGTGAGTACCCTTGCTTTGGAAGACTGAAAGGCAACATATGTCATTCAGCTGGTAAAAGCTCTCTTCGGCAGAAGTGAATGGTTACTTGCCTCTTGTGCATGTACTCACCCCATGTACTCACTCTACCAAGTCAGGTCCCAGCCAGGGACACCTCCACAGAAACCCCCCAGTTTATATTCCCCTGCCAGGAACCCTAATGGCTAGTTCTTGCAAAAACAGAACATTATTTTAATAATTTCACCAAGATTTTGTACCAGAAGACATGAAGCAAAACATTCTCTAGCATCTCAACATAAAGCAGGCATTTCTGGGTAACAAGGTAAAACAGGCATTTCTGTAGATCATTTTTGAGTCATCTGTAAGTGAAAACATTCCATACAATTACACATAAAGCATGACAACCTCAGACACAAAAGAGCTGGGATGAAGTCACTGATTTGGCCTATTTTTAACCTGGTAGTAACACTACAAAGAAAGGCATCATGATTAAAATGCAAAAAGTATCTCCCTTTTCCCTCCCTAGCCTTCTTTATTAAGTCTCTCCTTTATTTAATCCCTTGTGGTGTCTTGGGCACACAGCTGCAAAGTAACATGGGGAATGGAGGTGTTGTATTGCCAGTACCGTAGAGATGCACGTGCTTCTCCTTCAGGCTGTGACTCTTGACCAGCAGACTACTTTTGGAGAGAGAGAGCCTTACTTCCCTCAGACATTCCCAGTCCACCAGAGGACCCAATGTTTATACAGCTGTATTCTACATCAGAGTCCAAGAGGAATTTTTGACAAACTGAAGCCAGGCCACCAACAAACCACTCGAAGATTCAAGATTAGAGAACAGACACAGAAACATAGGAGGAGGCACTGATTTTCAGCAAAGGAAGATTTAAAAAGTAGCTGTGATATATAGGGGGCATTTGGACATTTGTCACTAACTGAGGAGCAGCAAGGTATCTCAGAGGAATTTGCTTCATCATGTAACACGGCTGTGACAAAGCTAGGACCTTAAATCTCTTTGTTCCTGCAAGTCAAGATACTATTTCTCTATTCCATACACAACACTGGAGACTGATTCTCCATCAAATAAAGATGTCCCTGGTGTGTTATACTCAGAAGACTGACAGAAGACAGGTAGCAGCGAGGAAAAAAATGAACTTAAAATCTACTCTTTGGATTGTTTTTCTTATTCCTATATTAATCAAAATCTAACAACAAGATTAAAGTAGAAACATATCAATACTTTCTCATGAGAAATACATAACTATCTTACCAGCTGCTGGTGCACAGGCTAAAATTTCTATTTCGAGTATTTTATCCTGTCAGGACTGGTTTTGCACAAAATTGCTGTGCTATGGGGGCCAGAATCTTGAAATTCCCTAGACTGTCCCACCATTGGGCACAGTAGCAAGGCAGACCTTAGCACCCCACATGCCCCTCCTGTGTGGCCACCTTTTGAAGCCAGATCCATGAAATGAACAGTGTTTACAGAAGTTTGTCTGGTTTGGTTTGGGTTTTTTTCCCCCCATGAAAAGAGAACAAACCATTCACGAACGGTAAGAGAACACACTGGAGTCACAAGAGGCCACACAACCACGTGAACAGGCAGCAACCCCCTGACAGCAAGGCAAGAACAGCAATGGACTGC